CACAACATGAGAGTGATCTTATTGCAAATTGATCACAATGTTATATAAAGGACTACCCGCACTCATCATGTGCACACTCTTATTTCTCTTGTGCTTTGTCTGATGCATAGCTGGTTTGTCATTACTCATTAGGCATCCTTCAATAATATTGTTAATTTTTAGAAAAATATTTTATCCATATGAAAATCAAAAATAACGAGGGGCGTGATAACTCTTAAGTTAGGGATAATGACCTATTTGCCACATTTTTCTATCTTTATAAATCTCATGCTCCAGAAATATTTTCCTATAATGCCACACTTTCAAGACCCGTTGTCAGCAAAAATGGGTTCTTTTGCCATGTGTCTAGTACTGAAGGCTTGCCTAGGACCCATTATAAAAAAAAACTTGTTATGAACGCATTAATAGATGGAACAAGTCCAAGACCTGTTGATAGTACCAATGGGTCATTTGCATTTAATGATGGGTCTTTTTCCACTTCACAAAGTGTGGTTCCCTCTACCTCAATCCACTGTCCTTTTTTTCATTGAACCATGACACATTCACAGGTTTATCACCCATGATTTCAAGCTCGGTTACTGTATCATCTTCATATTTAATGCTAATATGTGTAGATGAAGAAAGGCTACATAAATCTCCATTGTAATTTTCCCAAATTTGCAACGATGCAGGATACTCAAGATAAATCCTTAATTGTAACAAGGCTTGAGTCTGAGCCGCTTATAATTCATATGTTCGGGATGAATAAAAACCAAAAAACAACCTCAAGATAAACGTAAAAACATCTCTTTAAGTTAATTTGGAGCATCATGCATCAATTTTGATGAATGTGTGAGGAAAAAAAGCAGATAAAGACCCATCACTAGGAAGCTTAGTTTAAGACCACTAGAAAGCTTGGTTTAAAGGTGATGATGGTTGCAAAGAAGACGATAGAGAGAACAACACTTTGGAAAGTGGAAAAAGACTCACCATTAAATGCAAAGGACTCGTTGGTCTCGGCAATAAGTCTTGGATTTGTTCCCTTTGCCATCGTGTTCAGGACATACTTTGTTAATAGCAGACTCGCCTTCAGCGCGGGACATATGGCCAAAATGACTTGCTTTTATTGATGAGAGGTCCTAAAACCTAAAATTTTAGAAAAATATTTTTGAAGTGTGTCTTTTCGATAATAAAAATAGAAAAATATAACAAATATATCGTTGTTCCCTTAAATTATCCATAAAATCACTCGTCGCTAGTTTATTTTTTTTCCATCACAATTAAAATTGACATGTCATCATTTTCACAATTAAAATCGTTGGAATATATATATATATATATATATACACACTATGTGTTATGAATAAGAAGTGAGTTAAGGAACAAAAGAAAAGAGGAAAGTTGAAGGGGTGTGTAAGTTTTAAGAAGTCCCATATTAGACAACTAGTGAGAGGTGAGAAAGTTTATAAGCTCCTACCTCACACTCCTAAACTGCCCCTTCGGGCACTACACTTTTGTGGAGGAGAGAAGAGCTAGGTGGCCTTTGGTCCACCACACATGCGATTCGTCGTCTGTCCAGCTGACTTGCTCGACTCGGATCGGTCGGTTCGTGTGTGTGAAATAAAAATAATTTTTTATTAAATTATTTTATTATTTCTTTTATCCAAAATACTCTTGTCCCTATCCGTTGCTTCCCTCTAGATTCTTCAACCCAAATGTTTATTCCCGCCGGTTTTTTGAACGTTTTGAACCGAACCAGTTCTTAATTTTTGGTTCGAACCGACGCGTTCATTCATATTGAACCAAACCGGTCACCAGTATTGCCCGTTTGCGGCCGTCAATCACCGCGGTTCGCCGCCAGTGGCGGCTCATCGTGACCGGTCAGTGTCTATATATAGATCCTGACCCCTTCAGAAATTTAATCCAATTTTCTGCGCTGTTACTCAGCTGGATTTTTTCCTTCATCCTATTTTGCATACTTCCTTTCCATTTTCTGGTATAATTTCTCTGGCTTCTTGTTGTATTCGTTTAGGCTGTTGACTTGTAATGCCATCAATCTTCATACGCAATCTGTTATATCCTAGGAGACAAGTGTCCATCAACCTTTGGTATCAGTAAGAGGGCAAATTGTCTTAAAGAGACACTTTCTGTGTACTCATATTTCTTCCACCATTCTGCATACTTCATCCTTCCTCTTCTGTATTTTTCATATATTGTGAGTTCATTCTTTATAGTTATTATAGCACTGTGTTGATGATTATTAATCTCATTTACTTTATATACGAGTTCAAACCTCTTAGTAATTTTTAATATTACCCCAGTGTCTTTTTAACAACAAAAACTGGCTCATGTCACTTTATGGCTATCTTCTACAAATTTCATTTCGTTCGAACTTAACGTCGCTCCTACATCTAATCTAAATATATCAGTTGACAACACCAATACAAAACCCATTTCTCTATGTACTCACCCTTCTTCAACCTTCTAACCAAACGTTCGACGTGCCCATACACGGAGAAGAAAAACAAGACCACCTTCAATTTCACAACTGACCATGACATTCTTTCTTTATTTGAAACAATAGCAACGTCTAGTCAGCTTCGAACATGGAATTATGCTTTGGATGTGATGGGTTTGATGAAGTGATTCAATCTTCTAGCGGAAATGGTTTGGAAGTGTTGGGCTTTAAGCAACAAGTTATTTGGGCCGAAAAATGTGTGCAGAGTAATAAGAGCCACAACAATTTGCAGTCAATGAAATATGAAAACATGATGAAAAGATGGCGAGCTAAATTATTTTAAGAAAAAAATATTTATCTTTTTAAAGAATATAATTTTGTGTCAGTTTAGATTCTAACAGTTAATTTTCATAAATCAATAATTATAATTTATTACAAATTCTTAATTAATTAATAAGTTTGACCCAATAAGTTATAACCGTTGATTGACGAAAATTAACGGTTATGATCTAAAATGAAATAAAATTATATTTTTTAAAAGAAGAAATATTTTTCCCATATTGTTATATATATTTTAAGGGTAATACTTTTCTTATGTTATATAAAAAAGTATTATCTCCTATCCAAATAATAAATAAGAGAGAACAAAAAGTTAGAGATGAGAGGAATGTTTTTTGTTGGATCCATTTAAAAAATATGAGAGTAGGAAATAAATAAATAAAATATTACCGAATATCTAAAAAAAAGAAAAAAGAAAAGAAAAGTATTACTCATTTTTTAAATAGTGAATAGATGGCATGTCATTTTTAATTGAGTTGGTATAACATGATTGGTCAGATTGGGATGGGGACAAAAATCGGTGATAAGTGATCTCTGCCTTCAAGCTAAACCTTGAAAAGACGTATAATTAGGAATGACAATGGGCATGGGGTGGGTAAAGGCGTAAAGCTCCCCCCTCATTCTGTAAAGATATTCATTTATAATCCATAGTATATGAGTATTTAAGAATGCAATATACAATTTAAAAAATTACAAAAAGTAAACATAAATTAAGCGAACTTCAATACCATATACTATTACTTTCTTTAATAATTTGAATTCTCACAAATTTTTTAAAAATCTAAAGTAACATACAAGTTTAACTATATTTTACAATAATCAATCTACTTAAATAATTATTAAATTATTAGCATATATATATATATATATATATATATATATATTTGTTTTTAGTAAATTTTACCATTACGAGTTCATTTATTTAAAAACTTGATTGTAAAAAAATTAAGAAAAACATATGCCTAGTTACATTATATAGATAACCAATATTCCTAAGAGGGTGTATGACGAAATTCAGAAAGGTTGAAGGGAGTTTATTTTGGGGGAGCTCAATTGATAAGAGAAAATGTCATTTAGTTTACATAGTATGATCTGAAGCTTGATGCATGGAGGTTTGGGGTTCAGAAATTTTTGCTGTTAGAGAAGGGAATAAATGTGATAATCACCTAGCTAACCATGGCCATTCCAATTTTTTGAATGTTTGGTTTTAGAGCAACTTCTGTAGTCCTTAGTTTAGCTTTTCTGTCATGATTCTGTGGGGCATTACTCTTTGTATTTTGATGTAATTATTTTCTTTCTTTTTATGTTGGTTTGATTTGCTATTAAAAAAACAAAGGATCACAAGGGAAAAAAAAATTATACTTAGTTAATTGTTAAAATAATATTAGTATAAAATATTTTATAAGACATAAAATCTAAATTTTGTTACGCATTAAAACTTTTGTTACCACAACTCTAACACTAAAAAGGAAAAAGATGTGTTATTTTACTTACTATTTTTAATGTCTATTTTTGCTTACTACTCTCCAGCACTGTTAGATAAGAATCTCAGGAAGAGAGAAAGATAAATGTAAGTTAAGATTATAATCTAATAGTATTTTAAAGTGATAGACAAATAAAGAGATAGGTAAAATAACATATCTCAAAGAAAAAAAAACTCTATCCAAGAATGATTAATCTAGTAACATCGCAGTTAATCTAGTAACATCATAGTTAATTAATAAGTATCACAATAAATTTTGAATTATTTAATTTATCGATATCATGAAATTTGTGATTTTGTATATTAATCGTAAAAAAATTAATAATAGTAAAAAATTATCATATAATTTGACTACTTGTGCTGTATTTTCGAACCACACTCTAGTTATTATTATTATTATGATAAAAAACCTCACAGAATTCTAATTACTGCCATTATTTTTCCTTTTCCCTTTTTCTCATCTCAATCAATAGTATACCTTAAACTTTATTGTCTCACCACATTAATCTTCTAAACATTTTTATTAATCTCTTAAAAACATAAAATAATTAAATGAGATGACATTTTAAAATTTTGAAAAACTTCAAATAAAAAACATCATTAGAGAACTAAATGCTTGTGCCTTGTTGGTATAATTTAGTGATTTTCTGGAAAAAAAAAAAGAAAAATTAAAAAAAAAAACTCCCACTCTCTCTATCTATCTGAAGTCTGAACCTCCCCCATTCGGCGAATAGGTTATATTCTCGCACTCGTTCCTTCTCTCTCTGCAAAACCAGTTACATCCAAAGCTACCAAAACAAGAAGGAAGGGTTTTTCTCTCTTCAAATTTGTTAGCTACACACTTCTTTTAACTTCGATTTTAAATGTAATTCAGATTCATTTCACTTCACTTTCCCTCACTCAATTTAGGGCTTTATTCTCCCTCTCTTCCCCAAAACCCCCCTCTCACAATTCGATTGGTATTCTGATTACTCGATCTCACCATGGAAGCCCGAGATTTATTATCATCGTCCCCGTCTTCAACCGCTAACCGCGATGCTTCTTCCGCCACTGACGGAGACGACGGCGTTTTCACGGTCACTGTCGCCCTCACCAAAGACGCTGCGTTGCATTTCCAGTCTGGCAAGTTCGCCGAATGCGTCGAGGTCTTGAACCAGCTTTTGCAGAAGAAACCAGACGATCCCAAGGTAGTGAATTCCCTTTACCATTTTTTTCATGGATACTGATCTCAACGATGCGGTTTCCCCTTTTGTTTATGTCGTTTTTATTCTTCACGAAATATGCTTGATGCTTCTAGGTGTTGATTGATGCTTGCTCTGTTGTTCTTTTCTTTTTCTTGCTTCTTCGCTCGGTGCTAGTTTTTTTTTATTATCCTAATTATACTTTAGGTGATTGATTTGTTGGTTAGGCTTTATTTTTTTAAGACTTGAATTTTAAGTTTGGTACCTTTGGGGAGCTGTTGCTAGTAAGCACTTGCATTGTTGCTTCCGTGGCTATAAAGGCAAATGTGCATGGTTTATATGAATTTCCTCAGGTAGAAGTATGTGAATGCGCAGGATAATTTGCGTTATAAGCTTCTTTGAGTGGATGCCTATGGTAATGCATTTTCCCTATGTGATGTAAGTAACATGTAAGAACCTTGGACATAAGGAATAACTTATTCGACTTGTAGAATAAGGGTGTGTATCACAACCATTCTGTTCGACACTTTTTCTGTAGAGAAATAATTTTGTTCTATTTCTATGCTTGGGAATGAAGAAGGTAAAAAAGTTATTTTTTTCCAATTTTTGTTAGTGTCCTACCGGCTCATTCTAAAAAATAAATCGGTTTTGTGAAACATAAGTTTTAACCATTTCTATTCCCAGATTAAAAATAAAAAAATATTTTTTCAAAATGTTATCGGGCACACCTGAAACATCTGCAATGCATCCAAGATGAAAAGTTTGAATGACCGGATGCTTTTGCTAGAAGAGGGATTTTGAGCTCATTTTCTGGATAAGGACAATCTTTATAAGTTGGATTCTTTTGTTGCTTCGTTGATGCTAATGCTACTTGTTCTTTGGTTTAATTATATAGAGGATGGTTACTTGTTTCAGGGTATAATTATACATAGGACGGTTACTGGCTGCATGGTCAACCCTAAGTTAATGAATTAAATCGAGTAATCATATTTGCACAAATCTGTGCTCAAAGTACGGTTCACGTACTCTCATGCAACTCATCGGATAATACCCTGGTCGCTCTGTATCTGTTTTTTCTGAATGGTCTAGATTGTGCGCATACCTTACATAGTTGGTGCAAGTATCTTTTCCCTAGTAAATTATCCATCCTTGTTCTTTGCTTTTCATGGAATTAAAAATTTTGTGACTCTGAATTTATAGTCTTTACTAATGCCCTTATGCATTCTCGTAATGGATTAAGTGTGCTATAGAATAAATTCAAATGATTGAAGGGGCCTCGGAGCAAGTATACCTACGAAAATGACTTTTGTGGAAGAATTAAAATGGACTTTTATAATCATCCCCCCCCCCCCTCCCCTCTTCCTTTTTTTGTGTGTGTGTAAGTGTGGATTTGGTGTTTGTGCTCTCTGCATATCAAGTATCTCATACAAATATACAATTAAAAATTCTAAATATTCAATTTGTGATTGTTTTGGGGGATGGCATTTGAAACATCAATTATGTTTGTACTTGTAGACTGATAAAAATTCTCTATCTTCCATATTCAAGCCTGTTAAGAGCAAGGGAGGACAATGGTTTTGGTGGGTTTGCGAGTTAATATGACCCACCAAACTTTTTTATGTTAGAGTATTTTTTGATGTTGTGTAAGACAATCCTTTTCCTAAATCTTACTGTTTAAAGTTTTAAATCCTAATGTTTCAGGTCCTTCATAATATTGCAATTGCGGAATTCTTTCGGGATGGTTGTTCAGATCCCAAAAAGTTGCTTGAAGTAATTAATGGCGTCAAGGTATGCTATTTAAACTTCATGTAAATATTTTGGGGTCAATGAATTGCTAAATTGGCACTTGGCTCCAGTTGGTGGAATGAGTGTTTATTTTCTGTTGATTTTAATCTGTGAGTTTGGTTTCCTTCATTTGAATAAGAATGTAATTAAGATTTCACTGCCTGTTGGACCTAGTACACTATATAGTTGATGAAAATTCCCCCCCTCCCAAAAAAAAAAAAAAGTCCTTCTTCTGGGTCTCTTATTTATGATATTCTTAAATGAGGTAAATATGTATGTATATGTATATTCTGGGTCAGTTAATTGCTAAATTGGCACTTGGCTCCAGTTGGTGGAAGGAGTGTTTAGTTTCTCTTGATTTTAATCAGTGAGTTTGGTTTCCTTCATTGGAATAAGAATGCAACTAAGATTTCACTGCCTGTTAGTTGATGACAACCCCCCCCTTCCCCCCTCTTTCCCCAAAAAATCAATTCCTTCTTCAGTGCAGACTGTAGGAAGTATTGTTTAAGTTATCAGTATCTGGGCTTTAAGCTCTCACTTCTCATCTGGTTTTCCCTCTAATGGAGTGGTGAAAGTGGGGATCGTATTCAAATTTAACAGTATTTTAAAAATTGACTTACGCTGTTTTGGATCATTTGAATTGCAGCTTGAAGATCCTGTCTCTATTTATTGGTAATTTTGTACTTATCCCATTTTTTTGTTGATGGACTTGTTTCAGAGAAAAAGTAATGAGCTTGCTCTGACTTCTGAAGAACAAGGAGATTCGGTTAATAATGTTGGAAATAAAGTTGTTTTGGGATCCAAAGGAAGTAATGCTTCGGCACATCCGTTTTCAGGTGCAAATAGCACCACCACAATGTATACAGATGAATTTGACGCTTCTGTGGCAATTCTAAATATTGTATGTTCATTTTGCTCCTCATATTAATTTCGTTTATTTCTCTCAATTGTTGCGTTGAATAAAGACATGTGTGTGATTCCATTATCTTTGTTTAAGTTTTTTTATTTTATTTCGATATCTCTAGGCCATCATCTGGTTCCATTTTCATGACTATGCAAAGACGTTGTCAGTGTTGGAACCTCTCTTTCAAAATATTGAACCCATAGATGAGGTATGCCATGTATTATTTGATATTATGTAGTTTTATAAATTACACTGATGTGTTAATGGCTTTGTTTTTGCTCTCTCTCTTTTTTTTTGGGTTCTCTTTGCTAAAGCAGACAACAGCTTTACATATTTGCCTTCTACTGCTTGATGCTAGCCTTGCTTGCCATGATGCATCAAAATCAGCTGTAAGTTCTATTTTTGATAGTTTGATTAGTTGGTTTATTTTTTAATGATTGCAAGTTTTGTTGCTTAATGCATTGCTGTCAACCATGACTTTCATATCTCATGAATGAATTATTATTATTATTTTTTTTTTACTTTTTATTAGTTTATGGCTAAAAGAGGGCGAGCCTGGAGCAGCAATAAAGCTGCTCTTGTGACCGAAAGGTCATGGGTTCGAATCCAAAAAAAGTCTCTTTGCAAATATGTAAAGGTAAGGCTGCATACAAGGATTGCCTTCACTCCTATCCTCGCTAGTCGGGTTTAATGGAAAGTGTTTTTTTTAGTGTGTGGCTAGTTATTTCTTCAATAAATATGTAAATATTAATGTTATAAACATAATTTGTTCTTATTTTTTAATTTAAATTTACCTTGATCTGTTGAACCACGAGCCTCTCATTTCTTTCATATAAATCAAATCTTTCTTCCCAAGTCAATGTTGGGTATCCAGCTGAATGTTTTGGATGTTGATTGTTGAGTTAATCTGTTTCAATCCATTATTTGTCTCTGTTTGGATGTTTTCTTTGTTGTTTGTAAATCATGTACTTAAATTGTAATTCTTGGTCATCAGAGATAAATAATGAATTTACTGATTATAAATTAGCTGTAACATTATTTAGTAGGATTTGGATCCTCATTTTAGTTCCTAACATATACCCTATCACTTTTTTTTTCCTTCTTTTTTTATTCGGGGGGTTGGGGTGGGACAACATTGGGTTCATAAGCAAGAAGTGTGCGTCCCCTATATAAGGTGTTATATTTAACTATTTATCTATTTACGAAAATGACAAGGTTATGTTAGGAGCTAAAAGGCAAGGATCAGAATCCATTTAGAAAATTCTACCCAGTAATCTCTATTAATGTAGTGAAACTCGAGAGTTTCAAGTTATATATAAACAGTTTGCCGGATTTTGATTGTTTTCTCTGATAAAATATGATATAAAACTTTCTTGACATGTATTCTTTCACTCTTGTAGTTACAGCCTTTCTCTGTCTTAATTAGTTTGTTGAGTGTGTGGCTTAAAATTTGCATTGTTTTCACTTTTTTTTAGCTTCTGTAATAGTACAACTGCACTGTTCTGAACTGGAATCTATTTGTTTAGGATGTGTTGACTTATCTGGAAAAAGCATTTGGTGTTAGTAGTGTGAGTCAAGGTGACAATGGGAACACAGCACAGCAGCAACCTACTAATCTAATTACAAAGTCTGCACCTGTCACCATTAGTGCATCATCTGCTGATGCATCCAGTTCTGATTTAGGATCAGGTGCTAATGCCTCTGAAAATCATCTATCCAGAGCTTTGTCTGAAGATACATTTGATTATGAAGCCATGATTTTGGATATGGGTGGACAAAATTTAGTGAGGCCAATGGGCCCATCTTCAAATGATCTTTCAAGGGCTTTGGTTGACAGGTTTTCTACTGTTGATTTAAAGCTTAAGTTGCAACTTTACAAGGTTCGGTTTCTGCTTCTTACTAGGAACCTGAAGCTAGCAAAACGAGAAGTCAAACTGGCTATGAATATTGCACGTGGAAGAGACTCATCCATGGCTCTTCTTTTGAAATCTCAGCTTGAATATGCTCGTGGTAACCACCGCAAAGCAATAAAGCTATTGATGGCATCAAATAATCGGACAGACACAGCATTTTCAAGCATTTTCAACAACAATCTTGGGTGCATTTATTATCAGCTTGGGAAATATCAGACGTCCTCATTATTCTTCTCAAAGGCATTGACTAATTGTTCATCCTTGCGGAAGGACCAACCATTAAAGCTAGCCACTTTCTCGCAGGATAATTCTGTCCTTATAATTTATAATTGCGGTGTCCAGTACTTGGCTTGTGGGAAGCCAATACTTGCTGCTCGGTGTTTCCAGAAGGCAAGTTTGGTCTTTTACAAACAGCCTCTCTTGTGGCTCCGACTCTCAGAATGCTGTCTGATGGCTTTAGAAAAGGGCCTAATCAAATCAAGTCGGGGTTCTTCAGAGAAGTTGGAGATTGGAGTTTGTGTTGTTGGGATGGGAAAATGGAGGCAACTTGTGGTGGAAAATCAGTTTTCAGGAAATGTTCATGTGAACTTATCTGAAGGGGATGATTGTTGTCCAAGCGATGATGGGCGGCTGAAGTTATCGATGTCCCTTGCTCGACAGTGCCTCTTGAATGCTCTTCGCTTGCTGGACTCCTACAGTACAAATTATTTGAAGTCTGGTTTGCCCTCTAATTCGTCCATGGAGGAAAATGATACAAGTGAAGTGTCACCTTCAAAAAATCCAAATCTTAAAAACTTACATAGCATTGAGTCAAAGGCATTTTCAGTAGCTGTAGGTTTAGGTCAGGTTAATTCGAATGGGGACACGAAAGAACAAAAGGGAGGAACTAGTCAGGAACTCGTTCAGAACTCCCTCTTCTACTATGAAGATGTCTGTAGAAGAGAAAATCAATTGGTTAAGCAAGCTGTTCTTGCTAATTTAGCATATGTGGAGCTGGAATTGGACAATCCTGTGAAGGCACTGTCAGTTGCAAAATCTCTCGTAGAACTTCCTGAATGTTCCAGAATTTACATCTTTTTGGGCCATATATATGCAGCAGAGGCTCTCTGCTTGCTGAACAGACCAAAGGAAGCTGCTGAGCACTTGTCATATTATTTGTCTGGGGGGAACAACGTTGAATTGCCATTCAGCCAAGAGGACTGTGAGAAATGGCAAGCGGAGAGGACTGCGGAATTTGAAGAGTTGAATGGAGGATCAACTGCTGCCAAGAATTCTTCTCTTGAGGACACTAAAAGTATTGTTTTCCTCAAGCCAGAGGAGGCACGGGCAATAATATATGCAAATTTTGCAGCAATATCTGCCATGCAGGGTGAATTTGAGAAAGCCAATATATTGGTTTCGCAGGCATTGTCCATATTACCAAACAGTCCAGAAGCAACACTTACTGCAGTTTACGTTGATCTCTTGCTTGGTAAGCCACAGGAAGCTCTAGCCAAATTAAAACGTTGTAGCCGTATTAGGTTCCTTCCTAGTGGAACAACATTGAATAAATCTTCTTGAGTGTTGTATGCTTGGGTTTTATCATCGTGCCTGGCCTATCTCTCAGCGTTAGTTAGCAGGTAGCTTAATCCTTCCATAGCACTTGTAACATATATAAGTTCAATTCAGAGAATAATTTTTTGTGATTCGTTTTCCTTATAATTCTCAAATTTAGGGTTCACTAATAGGTGGTGACTGTGTTTTGGTTAGTGCTGGTGCCCACCTTTGAAATTTGAGGTGTAGATCTGATTCGGATTGTGTTTTTAGAGGCAAATTTAGTTGATATTCAAGAATAGAGGTCATGTGCTTATATTGAGAAATCTGAAAAGTTGATAGTTATTTTTAGAGTTCCATTTTTAATCCGGGGGAGTCGCTCTTTCAAATTCACACTCCTCATGGGTGCTATTTTCCAGATGAATATGATCTCATGTCTTGTACTTTTTCTCAGTTGCTGTTTTGCTATGTGTATATGTTGTGTTGTGCGCGGGCAGGCGATGCGAGCATGTTAGATGAAGCCCTGCTTTTTCTTTTCTGCTGTTTTAGAAAAATAAAACTAGGCGATGCGAGCATGTTAAATAATGCTTGGTTTGAACCGATCACAACATCTATATTCTATAACCGATTATAAGTCAACTTACAAAATGTAAATATAATGTCAAATTCCAATTGGATACGGCTAGCTCCTTGATTGATTTACTTTTGGATTGAATTCCCCTCCACACCCCCAACACCAAATAAAACCAATTCAATTAATTTATTTTCAGGACCAAGAACGAATGAACCATAGACACTGTATTTTTCTCAATTCAAGGTAAAACGAGTTTGAAGATTATCAAACCTAGGTATGGTAATGGAGATTCGTGAGAGTTATCCATGGCCGAATAAGAAATGGGTAACTGATTCAAAAATATGGAGTTAAGGGGGAGAGTTTTGATATATATACTCGTGAAATATATTTTCTCGTTTTATATTTTGCACATGATTTTTTTTTATTTCGTTATGTGATCATAAAAACTTATATTTTATTATTATTTTACAATGATTTTTTTTAAGGGAAAAATGTTTTTGCAGTTAATGCAGATAAGTTATCTGCATTTATTCCCAAAACACGTCGTTTTGGTATTGAAATCTTAAAAAATTATGAATATAAAGACTATTATAACCTTGAAATAAATTAAAATTACAAAAACACCATGATTTCCGTCCCAAAACGACGTCGTATTGGTTTACTGCAGATAAGTTATCTGTAGTAACTGCAGAAAAAACGAACCTTTTTTTAATGAATGAGTCCCTAATGTAAAAGTTTTAGAAAAACTGTACCTAATTTATATAATAATTATTTATGTGGGTTGATTATTGTAAAATATAATTCACTTGATATGTTATTTGTAATATTCTTTTAATATTTTTTAAAAAAATTTGGTATCTAATGTTTAAGTTTATTTAGTTTTTCACATTAAAATTTATGCATTTTATTTTGAATAATTAAATACACGTGAGTATCCATAAATATCCATTTCTAGATAAAAATGATAAATAGATATGAGCATATCTTTGATACTATGGGATTTACTAAAAATAAAAAAAAGTGAAATTTAAGTGAAAATAGCCAGAAAAGGATAGATAAAATGGTAAAAGTTAGTTATATTTTTTTTCTTTCAAATTTAGTAAAAAATGTATTGAGTTTTCAATACTATGGGAGTATGTAAGATATTTTCAATAGATAACCACAACAACAATATGTTTTAATTTTAGTTTTGAGATAAAAATCTAAACATGTTACTTATTAATAATGGGTAAAATGCAGAAGATGCTTCCAACTTAGTCTTTGACATTTCTATGGTAGATTATGTTGCTTGAAACTCGGAGACTCAGCAAATCTGTTGTTTTTTTTAAAAAAAAAAATGTAATTAGGACTTATTTATTTTTATATTTTTTTCTTAGATTATGAGAGAAAAAATAAATAAATAACTGTAGTAAAAATTGTTATTATTTCTGTATTATTTATTAAATTTATTTTAATATTCTTTAAAAAAGCCATAGGATATAAGAACATAAAAGCATCACGTCTAAATAATTACCGTCTGTATTATAAGGGCGCAGTTCCCATTGTTCAAGTTTAGGTTCGAAGCATTAGAAAAACTTAAATTATAACAAGTAACTTTTTTTTTGTGTGAGTGTAAAACTATATCTTAGAAAGATTTTAGAAAAATTATTTTTAAAACAAACTAATTCAAACAAACATGGGAACAACTGCACTTGCCACAGAAAAAGTTTATATATCTCTTACAATTAACTTAATCACCGTTGATTTTCGTCAATTTAACGGTTATAATTTATTGGGAATTAATAATATTTATTGGGTCACACTTATTAATTAATTATTAATTCTCAATAAACTATAACCGTTAGACTAACGAAAATTAACGGTGATTAAATTGATTATAAGAGTGATAATTTTTTTTGATGATAAGTATATTCGTACTTTTCAAACATATACTAAAGTTGTGTAATTCATATTCTCAATTAATTCGACATTTTTTTAGAAATTTATTTTGAATAATAATAGTAATAGTTATTGGAAAAATTGTAACCATATGTCACGAGCTAATGAGCAGAAAGACTTTTTTTATTTAAGGGAACGTTTGATATAGGAGAAAATTTTTTTTATCCGAGAATCACGATTCCCAAGAATATGGTAGGAAATTGACTTTCCCGGGAATGTTACAAAAAGTTATTTGGTAGGTTAAAATATTCTCCGGAATGTTAGATCAATTTTCTTGATATTATGTTTGGTTGATTGTAAAATATTGATAGAAATGTGTTAAATTTTTCATTTCTCTGGGAATCCAAGAATACCGCCTTCTGGGTGATATTTTTGGATGATATTCTTGGTTGAATGTTGCTCACAGAACAAAATTTCAGAAAAATCACATTCCTGTAAATTTTTTCAGAAATTCTCTATCAAATGTGGATAATTTAGATTATCACCTTCAGTTTTTCAGGGAAATAATTTTCTTATGTAATACGAGATTGTTTTCTCATATTGTGAGACATTGAAATTCGTGTTATTTTTTTTAACAAGTGATGAGCCCACCATTTGTTATGTTATGTCTACGACATGAGAAATATTATTTCATATGACATGAGAAAAGAAAAGTCCAAATAAGTATTTCTTATTAAGAAAAATGATTATTCATTTATCAAGAATGGTTATCGTTTAATATTCAAAAAAAGTATGGCTATCGTTTTATACAATATGACCATTCGGATAAACTAAATAACTACTTTCCGTAATCAAATATTCATTATTGATATTTTAATTATATAAAATGTAAATGTTCCGTCTTTCTAGATATGGGATTAGATTTGCTCTAAAGTGAAAGAATTCCTTTAAATTATGAGGGGAAAAGTTATGTAGCGAAAGAAAATTGCAATTGGAGTGGGGCTCAGATGTTGCTTTGATAGAGGCATAATTATTAATTAGGTGTGATAAAGGCCAGACTTTCTATAAATTCAGATCAAGTTAATAACATTTATTTACACATTATTAATGAACAATAATTAATCATAATAAATTAATTAATAAATATTAACAATTTATTAGTATATTTTTGACTTACATTATAAATTGAATGTATATTTGAATTAACTTATTTTAAGGTTAATTTTTTTATAATTTTTTAAAAAAACTTAAAAAATAAATTATTACCGAACATGTTATAAATCTAGACAAGAATATCTCCTAATAAAGTTGCGTAGAATTTTGCATGAAATGTCATGTCATTATTGGAAGAGAGTGTGAGTGTGGCTTACAACAGATATACAGTTAATTAATTAGGATATTCAACAAGGTGTGTAATTTGGGACAAGATGTGAAATTGGTATAGCAAATTTCTTGAATCCGAGTTACAGTACCCAGTATGTGCCTAAATTGGGAAATGAAAAAAATTAAAATACATAATTATAATATTAAATTTATATTGTTTTTTTTTCTCTTTTTAGATACTATTTACTGATCTAGAAAATAAAATAAAAATATAATTTCAATATTATAATTATGAAAAAAGTGCGTATCATTTTAAATGACACAAAGTTGTGTTATTTTAAGTGAGAGAAAAAGATAAATTATGGAAGAGAGATGGGAAAAAAGTTTTAAAGATATAGATCTCATCTCTTTGTGAGAGAGAAAGGATGTAAGGTGTGTCATTTAAAATGACACACATTTTTTCCTATAATTATATACTATCTTTAATTCATATATAAATAGTTAAAAGTACGTAGGAAAAACTTTTAACCCCTGCCTAAATTGGACATTGCCGTTTTTCGTGAATTGTGTTGTAGCATGCTGCTTTTATTTATTTCTTTTAATATTAAAAGTATCATCTAGAATGAAAGGTAGAAACTTTCACAGCCCATTGAAAACCAAAACCAGGGTTTTTTTCCCTCTCTCTCAGGTGGAATCGTACGTCATATCATGTCCCTAATTAACCCACTCATGGATTCTAATAAGGCGCAAAATTCACATGATAATAACGAGGCTATTGAAAAAAATAAATTATAATACAATTAATTTTGCAGTCAAACATTTTTCATAGTTTATAACCTAAAATTATAAATGATCTTTTTCCATGCTCACAAAATATGCTTGAGATATATTTCTAGCTAAAAATTGAAGTTGAGCAGCTGATCATGACTATTTGTAACAAATGTGATACAATATAATAGAAACACGAAGCCGAGATTCATCAAAACGCAAATCATATAAATATTTTAACATTTCACAAAGAAACATGTTCGGTGCTACTTTACTTGCCTAGAATTAAACATACATTAAACAATCTCAATTAAAACAAATGGTTTTAGAAATAATATATAACTAGCCAGACAAACAACATCAATTCGAATAAAAAGAGAAGAGAGAGAAAGATAGATTGGCTCGACATCCTCTCATGTCGATTTCGACCAGATATCCCTCAATCCATTCACCTGCAAAGCATAACCATGACATCCAATGAGACAAACGCTTCAAGTTCACGGGTACAAACTAGGACAATATATTGATAGGAAATAGATATTAAATCACGCATCCATTATTGCATGTGATCTATCTTCTTAGTGTGCCTGACAACATTATTCATAATCGTATAGGAAGAGTTTAAAGTCAGAGGAAGTGACAGAGTTGCAAAAATAGTAACTTTCCTATCGCAATAAACGAAACTTACATGTTGAAAACCTTATATCATTTTTATACTTTCTTTATTTGGGAAAAGAAAATTAGAGAAATAATGTTGAAATATATATTTTTTATTTTTATTTTAAAAATAAGAATAGTGTAAGATATGCATGGGATCACTATTTTTTTTTTAATTTAAAGAAAAAGAATTGACGATTAATTATATAAACATGCATGTATGTTTAAAAGAAATAGACTTGGCCAATGATTAAGAGAACTTAATAATACTTCAATTTCCAAATCTGGGGTAGGATTTAATTTATAGAAATTAAGGAAGAAATTAAATTGTGATTTAACAAATAAAAAAAAAGTAGAACATGGACAAAATAATTTTTTATTTTATTTTTTGAAGTAAGAGCAGCTCTTTGAAAATGCAAGCGAAAACATAAATTAGGGTTTTGTGGGGGCACTTAACTGGTTTAGAGGGAGCAGGTGTAACCAGGAGGAGGAGTCTTCCCACAAGTGACAAGAAGCTGAAGAGCAAGTGGGACAAAGATGTTGAGGTTAAGAAGCTTAACCTTAAGAGTGGTGCAAAGACAAACTGCAGCTTCAAGCTCAACAAGTCCTTGAAGCACAGGGCAACACTCATTAACAACTGGGTCTCCAACACCAATGTGAACCAACCCACCAAGGAGATCCACACAAGCACCTAATTTCAGTGTGTCAATAGGGCATGTAGCTTGTGCTGGAGATTTAGGTGGTGGGCATGGCTTCCCTCCAGTGCTTGGTGGGTTAAGAACCGGAGGAACTGTAACCGGAGGGATAGGGAGAGTCACTGGGGGTTTCACTATTGGTGGAAGTGTAATTGGTGGCTTCACAATTGGAGGGATAGGCAAAGTCACTGGTGGCTTCAAAATGGGAGGGACAGTAACTGGAGGCACAGTCCCTGGTGGCTTCTTCACAATGGGGGTTTTAGGTTTATGCTTCTTTGAGGGTTTACCACAATAGCCACAACCAAGAATGGGAGTAGCAGAGGAGATAAAGAGCATGCAAATGAAGAGGTAAGCATAGATCTTTGAGGACTCCATAGTTGAGAGGTTCTAAGGGTTTCTCGAGAGAAAGAAAGAGAAAGAGAGAGTTGTAGTGTATAGTAGAGATTGTAAAAGAAGGAAGAGGTGATATATAGGATTGAATAGGTAAGGATCGAGAAGAAGAAAACAAAAGGGCATATAGCTGATCACGTGAAGATGGGGCTAGGCTACAGCTGGCAAATTAACCTAACAAGTGTACATGAATTCCTATATACACGAAAAATTTAAGATCATATCCCAGAAGTTGGGCCTGGGGTATTGCCATCTTAATTATCATCACTAGCTAGCTATTAATTGTTGCTGCTGCTTGAAGATAGTGAGTGTTTAAGGGAAAAGGAAACCCCGTGAAAACTACACAAGCTTAACCAAAACATACAGTACATTCATCTTGGTGGGGTGGGGATATTCCTGAATTCTGTCTAATAATTACTTTGATTAATTAATTTAACTCTGATGTGTATAGAAAAAAAAAAATTTGCAATTATTGACGTGTCGTCACTTGTCACTGCTTTTTTTTTTAATTGAACTGATATACACTATATACACTTAACTCTATAAAAAAAAAAAAATCTTCTACTTAAGCTAATGAACAATGATTTCAGAGAATCTACTTCTGCCATGGTATAATATATGGTCCACATTCGCTTTTAACATGTGACGTTCGCATAATTCTTTTTTTTTTTTTTTAATTTAAGGAGAGGCCCCCCCAGGTATATATACTATCCTAAGAAAAGGGTATATGGCATAAAACTTTCAATCATCCATATATAGCTTTTTAATTTCGTCAACATTTTTGTGTTTGACTTACTACCTATTTCATTTTTACGAAGGATACTTTTTATAGAAAAATTAAAATTTTCTTTTAGTTACATTAATGGTTGGAATGTTAAATTCAAAATCAAGATAACAATCTTAAAGTACATTTTATGACCAAAAACCTTATCTTTATAAGATTCGCATCTTCATGAATTGTCCTTTCGACAAATACATGACTAAAATTCTCAAGTAACTAGCTACTTTATGGAAAATGATAATTTTTTTTTATCAAAATACACAGACCATTTTTACATTTATGATGAAAATAACATTTTATACATAGGCTGAATTTGAATGTGTAAATAATCATTTCAACCCAAGAGTTTAAGCGTAAACTCTAAACTCTTATATAAGACTACGTACATTAATAATTTTTATATTTTTCTAATACATCCCTCGTAGGAAAATCCATTTGACTCGAAGGAAAAGGATGCATCAGATCTAGTCTACTTGTGCTAATCTTTTTTATAATATTTAATTATTTTTTATTAATAAAATGGGGGCCGTGAAGTTTTAACACAAGACCGCTTAGTTACGTCAGCTTTGATACCATGTAAAGAATCATTTTAATCCAAAAACTTAACTTTAAATTATTGGGGGAAACTACAATAACAATTTTTATATGTAACAGAATGGTTGAATTTGTGAAACAACGATAAATTCTACAAATTATTGATGGTACAAGAAGTACGAAGTGTTCCATCTAGCGTCAAAACTATTAGACAAGAGGCTATTAGAAAGCCTGATAAAATAAAAACTACATAATTAATAGCAAAACTTCTTGCAAGGCATTGTCACATTCCTAAACCTTCAAGAGTTTTAGAAAGAAAGTATAGACTAGCAAAACTACACACATGCATTACCTTCATATTATATATATATATATATATATATATATATATATATATATAGAGTTTATTATCTATCATTTAACATGACCACAAAAAATTTCCTACACATACAACATTTTGTAGGACCCGCAGCAAAAAAAAAAAAAAAACTTCGGCACGCAAAACGAATCTCTATAACATAACACAATCACTTTTCCTACAACATAACTCTTATAAAACCCATATATATATTGCATAGTCACCTTCCAATCATCTCTAATAACGTCACTAATTGTCTAATTGCATCTAACAAACTTGTCCTATCGCTTGATGTTGTTTTTAATCTTCGAAAACCATCCTGTGATGGATGCATGAATGATTAGAAAAAGTCACCAATTAGCCATCACATATGGACCCTGAGCTTTGGAAAAACTTTTGACTCCTACCTACACATTAGAAACATAGATTCATGGAAGTTTGTGATGCATATATATTTAACCTTTTTTTTTTTTTACTAATCCTAGGTCAATTAATTAGTTTCCCCCAACTTCTGACCTGTCAATTTCAGAATCTTTTTACACGAGTGGAATGCTGTAAAAGAATCAATTTGCATATGCATGTTCGTGTCTTATAACCTTCTCCCTTTACTATTTATCATTTTTTTTGATACACCGAAATTAATTACCTTTTTAAGGTGAGTCAACCTTCTAATTCTCTATAAATTTTAATTCTTTAAACTGACTATAAAATTAATTCCAAATAGGGGCATAATAAAGATATTTGCCACTCTCTAAATATGTATTTGGTGATTTACAACTTTTTCAAATATCACCAGTTGCACCAACATATACTTGAAGGATGAACTAGCAAAAACATAGGTATATAGACAGTATTCATTTTTGACGAACAGTTGAATCATGAATAGAGGGTATGAAGCACATAACTTGGGCCTAAAATTTTCTTCCAATCTCTTTAAACACCAACAGTTAAATCAACTTGCCAAGTTATACTTTTTATTGTAAAGAATCACTTCAACTCAAAACTTTAAGGTGTTGGGTCAGGGCTTTTTTAATGGTTTATATTATTCTCTAACACACCATCTTACGTAAGAGCCCTTTGGGCTTGGAACGTGAACATTATATAGGTCCAATTTTTGGTTTACCTTATGTGTTTTTCATTTTTTAATTCCATTAGAAAGTGGAGGACAATGAGGATCGAACTCGTGACCTTATGGTAACTGAGGCTCTGATACCATGTAAAGAACCAATTCAACCCAAAATCTTAAGGTGTTGGGTGAAGGCCTTTTTAATGATTTATATTATTCTCTAACATCTATTAAGCCTGAATTTGCTATCCTTGCGAATCTAAGAGTGTCTTGTTTTGTTTTAAAGCTGTCATAGGATCCAGCGTAGGAGTACTGAATTATGATCTAACTATATATATTTATATATGGTGGAGACCTTATAAATTTAACCTAAAAGCTTAAGTTCTTAAGTAATGTCTATATTAATAATTTTATATTAAAGTGTTTTAATACATTCTCTTACCATGAGTTCATTGGACATGGAAGGTATATAATATATGAATTCACCTATCTGTGTTATGAAATTTCATAATTAAATATTTATTAAAAGAATGGGACAATAAGGATTGAATTTGAGACCATTTGATCAGAAGTTTTGATACCCTGCAATGCAACTCTTTTCAAACTCAAAAGTTTAAGTTAATAAGTAATATTTTGATACAAACGTGAGTTTGTATGCTGTAACTACCAACAACTTTTATTAACTGAATGCCCTTCAACAATACCACAGTATTCCTTTTATAGACCTTTACAAATGCCACGTTGGCATAAACCTCATTCTCACTAAATTCTCCTATCAATTAACTAACCGTAACCATACCAACAGCATTGGGCTCTATTGGTCTTAGACTTTACAAGACATAGTCCTTGACCCAACTTGGCCCACCTCTCATCCTAACTCCTTTCCCTGCTACCGTATCAACTGCCCTCTCTTCGACTGTGACCTTGTCCTCAAGGTGCAACTGTGGATAAGCTTGACTCAACAACTCAGCATCCTCCCATGAAGCATCTTCAGGGACTGTGGCTGACCATTGAACCAAATGTTGCTGCTTCTTCCTACCATTAAGAGGCACTTCACGCGAATCTAAAATGGCAATGGGATGTTGAACCGGTTTGTTCTGCAAAATCTCAGCTGGTAGAGGTTCACATCGTGCATCATTGCCATAAAACTGTTTCAACACTGAAATGTGAAACACTGGATGAATCAAACTCTCAGCTGGAAGAGTCAATTTATAAGCGACTGGACTGATGACTTGCTCAACAACATAAGGACCAAAGTAACGCTTAGCAAGTTTGTGATTTGCTCTTCGGGCCACTGACAACTGTCGATAAGGTTGTAATTTAATCAACACCTTATCACCTACCTTGAAGGTGCGTTCCTGCCTATGCTCGTCAGCTTGATGCTTCATTCTCTCTTGAGCTCTTCTCAAGTTTAACTTCAAATAATCCCACACTTCTTGCCTCTGTTGAAGCATAGTGTCTACTGCCTCCAAGTGAACTGCACCCTTTTGATAAGGAGGAATCAAAACCGGAACTTTCCCAAACACAGCCTGGTAAGGAGACATGTTAAGAGCAGAATGCACAGATGTGTTATAATGCAATTCCGCCCAACACAACATGTGAACCCAGCGAGAATTTTGTTCAGAACAAAAAGCTCTTAGGTATTGTTCCAAGTAGCGATTTGTGACCTCCGATTGGCCATCGGTTTGTGGATGATAAGCTGAAGTTGCAAGTAATTTAGTGCCACTCAACTGAAACAAATGACGCCAAAACTTGCTCATAAAAACAGTATCTCGATTAGACAGCATGGTACGAGGGAAACCATGATGTTTCACAACTAATTCACAAAATAATTGTGCTACTGTTGCAGCTGTATAAGAAGAAGGCAGAGGGCCAAAATGAGCATATTTAGACAATCTATCAACGACCACTAGAATTGTAGTGAATCCATTTGACCGAGGAAGAGCTGTAATGAAATCCAATGTGAGATCATCAAAAATGGCATTAGGAATAGGCAAAGGTTGTAGCAATCCCAAGGGAATTTGAGTGGATGATTTAACATGTTGACAAACTGTACAATCACGAATGAATTTCTGAACATATGTGCGCATGTTTTTCCAAGTAAAGGAAGTTGACAAACGCAAATAGGTACGGTGGATTCCAGCATGGCCACCAATGGGTGTGCAGTGAGCCTCTTGTAACAACAATTCCTTAAGAGAAGAGTTGGAACCCAACCAACATCTATTATTGTAAAAAATCATGCCATA